TGTGGGGGTTCGACTCCCACCGAGGCTGAGAAATTTTCACAATTGGGTCAACTGAATTATTCAAATCCGCCAAACGCACCCAACAAGAAGGTGAGCCTAGTAATCATTCTGGTAGATTCTAGCTGATTGCTTAGGAAATCCTGCCTGAGAAGTCAGCTTGCTGTTCCGTAATGATGGATTCCATGCGAGCAGTAGGTTGGATGGGTAAAATCGATTCAAAAGTGGTTAACTTCAGCGCGCACGGTGAGCCTCGTAGCTCAGTGGTAGAGCGCTGGCTGCGCAAAGGCCTTCCCTGCTGTGTGGATTCGACTCCCACCGATGCCGCGAGTTTTTCACAATTGGGTCCACTGAAAACAAATTTGTTGAGCTCCGAACAATATTAGACCCGACCTTCTTTACCACAGTCTGGCTTAGAAGGTTACCAAATGACGGACTAAGTCGGACCGTGCGATCATTCCAGTGTGTGTGTGTGTTTGTGTGGAGTGGCTGACTGGCGGACTAAGAGTCAGGTTGCAATGTTCCCTTCTTACTATGGCCTCTCTGGGAGTCGCGTACCTTAGGATCCGAGCTAGGAGCGGATCCAGACGCGCCAGCTCCCTGCGCTCTCTTCCGCCTCCGATCTTCTGGACTTAGTCCTGACACCGAAACAAGGTTGAGGAAGAGTAGAAATTACGGTAGATGCAGCGCAAGTCTACTTTTACAGTAATCTAATTCACGCGCAAGCCACCATCCCTGTGGGGCACACGGTGGAGCTCGCCGAAACCGCACGGTCGAACTGTCGTTCCCATCATTCACGAGATCTCAGTCAAAGAGGATTGCAAAAATGCGACGCTTGCCGACGTACAGTACTCCTAAGTCCCTCTTCTTAAACAAAAGATCCGGCTGTTGATTAAGGGAATCTAGTAAAGACAGCGCATTGTCCATGTTTTGAAATCAGGGATGATGTGAATCACCGAGTCTGCACAGCTCATTGACTGAAGGCTCTATATGGATGTCGCCCACTCCGGCGTCCATACCGTTTGCTCCTCCTCTGATATTATTTCCAGCGTCTAGTCGCACGTCGCGCCTGATTCCCTCAGGAAGTCGGCTGGTTTGTTGAAGCCCGCTCACTATATGTCAACTTAAATTCTGAAATGTGTTTTCAATTCGAATAAATTCGACTTTTGTAATTATTGTGCAGCCTACTTTTAAAATATTTCAGTCAGATCAGTATGCCAGCTTTTGAATGAGCATTCTTATAAACACCTGCAAAAGGTAGATTCTATAAAAAGTGGCTAGTTAAGTAGTATCCCCGTCTAATAAAAAACAAACACGAAAGTATTCGTTCTTGTACTAACCGCGTAGCAAATTACTCTTTCTTCCTTTTTGTACTTGAAGCGTGGGTATCTTTGAGGTATAAAAATGTTTTTAATAATGAGATTTTTTAATGTTCTTTCATGATGCATCCGACCTATCAAATTATTCCTGTTTACTATAAATTATACAACCTGATCTATATCTACTGTAAATTGCATTAGAATAATGTGACCTCTTCTGCACAGTCTAGCTAAATTTGTGATTTTCTTTAGACAGAATGTATGCTGCATGTGAATTGGAAACGTTAAATGCTAATATAACGGTAGATTGGGTTAAAAATTATTCGGCAGTGTATAAGGTTTTCTTAGAATCGAAAGATGTCTTTTCTTCAAGTATAAAATGTAAACAAGGCGTATTTTGACATCCAATGAGTACAAGAAAGAATATGTTTGTACATCTTTTCGATAAATGATCATTGAATTTATCGGGGTATTGAAAGTGCATATAGAAACATATATACTTTATAGGTAGCCATTTTCTCCATTTGCTTGCGATCAAAAAAATCTTGTTCGATAATCAGCATTCCAAGGTGATTGAAATATCTTGGAAATAGGCTGTATGGTTATAAATGTTACAACTCCACTTAAGTAATTTTTTTCAAATTAAAAACACTGCAGAATTTGATTGACATTTGATGAGATTGGGAGTCTATTGTAGGTAACCTCTAAAAGGTACATCTAAACAGAAGCTAAATACTCGTTTCACCTTCGTAACCGAACACTTCAATTGCTTTTAGAAGGGTTTATGTCCGTCGAGGGGAAAAGATGAAAGGATAAACTGTAGGATTCAGCAATCGTCAGCAATGCAAATTTTGATTTTTATATGCAGATTGCTGGTTTATAAAATCGGAATTGCTGTGTAGAAAAGGTGATAGTCTCATTCAGAATGCCAGCCATAGTCTGCTTTTCTAGACCGGTATTTTTCCGTAAAACGCAGTAGTGGTCATAATAAGCACCATATTATCGGGTTTTCACTTAATGGAAAAGTGCGCCTCTTCATGTGTGTACAGTAGCCGCCAAAGACCATGCAACGCTAATTATGAAATTTGCCTGGA